GTCTCAAAATCAACCAAAGACAGAAAGGGGAGTGGATTTTTAAAATGATTGTCATTATTATTAAAATACTGACTTTCACTGTTAAGAGAAGTTTTAGGAAGAACTCAGTCAGCTGTCATTGAAAGCACTTTGGATATCACACAGCATGTGTGGTGAGGGTGAGAATGTCTGATCTTGTGGGAGAAAAGCTTGTGGAGTAGTGGGTGCAACAGTTACAGGTGGCTTGGGATATCAGCTGGAGAAGAGGCTGGTGTTGGGATTCAGCAAGCGCTTAGACTTAGGAAGAAATGGAGGTGAATGGGCCTCACTCAAGGGAAGCAAGCCCAGGAGAAAGGGAGCTATGGGTTTGCCTGAGATCTAGTGCATGAGCTCGCTTGGCTGTGTTTGTGCAAAGCCCTGGAGAAGCTGAGACTGCCAGGGTAAAGTAAACTGGTGTGTGGGAAGACTTAGGTGTGGATACTTCACTGGCTTCTAGTTCTGTTGGCTCTTGGTGATGTCTAGACAATGTAATTACTGTAAGTAGCACTTGAAGATTTACTTGGTAAAAGTGTCTAGGATGGTAATTGATTGATTGTACTTGGACTGAGGGTCTTTTTGTTATGTTTTTCTTTTCATTTTTGAGGCTGGACAGAATGGAGATATTTAAGAGAAGCAGGCAAGACACAGCAGGGATAAGCAGGAGGAAAAGCTGTTGGCTGGCAGAAGGGGAAAATGACTGCATGGGGAAAGGGGGCGGGACTTTTAGTAGACAATGCCTTTGAGGCCTGGCATAGTCATGGTAGGAAGTTGGTCATTCTGGCTTATTGTTAGGAAGAATTTTCTGGTAACTTGCCATTAGCGTGAAATCTTGTAAGTCAGACAGGAATTTTTGTGCTTTAAAAAAGATCACCCATTATGAATTACAGTTCTGTAATTGTGCTGGTTCAGACAAGTGTTTGGAATGGAGATCCCCACCCCTTTTCTCAGTGCTGAAGCTTGCCCATTGCGCACATCCTGTGAGGGGAAGCCCTGTGAAGGGAAGCGTGTGTGACTCGGGGGTACATTTCAAAGAACCCTTTAGAATCTCACGCCTTTGGTAGGGGGGAGGGGGAACATTCATCAGTACTGTGTGCAGTAAAACACTGTTTAGTTGCCCACCATCCTTGATCTCATTTTCATGATAGCTGGGGCACAGCAGTGCTCACACAGGTCATCTCAGAGCAGAGGCCCTGCAGGGCCAGCAGCAGGCTGCCATCAAGGACCCAGCTGGATGAGTTCTGGCATGGATGTGGATATTTTGTTGTGTAACAATGGTTTATTCTTCAGAGGAGGGGACTGGGAGCAAAGTTGCTTAGCAATCATGTGGGTGCTAAAAGAATGGCCTTTGAAGGAGCAGGCATTTGAAGTGGGATAAATTCAGCTTTTTCAAGCAACTTGCAAAGACTTCTATTGGAGCAGCTCATAGCAGTCCTTTTACAAATTAGGGATGTGTAGTCTTTTTTTTTTTTGCTTCTGATTGCTTTTGTTTGATCTGTTTTTCTGCTTTCTCATGTGGAGAAAGGGCTAATGCTTATGGGAGTGGTTTCCTCATGAGCTGGGAGAAGGGTTTCTGCACAGAGATTGGTTCTAGGTTTGCAGTAGCTCTTTACTACTGGGCTCGACTCATCTCTGAGTGCCAGTCATCTTGCTGGGCCCTTGGGAACTGACTGGTGGGGCTAAGGGAGCACTAGTCCAACCCTGCCACCTAGACACAGCATGCACACTGGAGTTATCTTCTCATTGACAAGTCAGTCTACCAGGAGAGAGAAGGCGGCACAGATCAGAGTGATTGGCTTCTGTTCTAATCCCAGTGTCATGCTGTGCAAGATGGATTTGGGGCACATCTTCTACTCCTTCATGATAAATGTCTTCATTTGTAAAAATAACTATAGTTCCTGCTTTCCCTTGCAGTTAGTGGATGGTGTGGGTCTACTCTAAGGCCCAGGTTGCTGTGGTGGTTTATGAAACTTTCTGATCTTTTTATTAGCTTGTATTTGGACACCAGAATTTTTACTTTTTTATAATGTGTATGTGTGTGTGCCCGTGGGTGTGGAGGCCAGAAGAGAGCCTTGGGAGTTATCTTCAGGAATATTGTTAACTTCTTTTGAGACAGTCTCTCTCTCTCTCTCTCTCTCTCTCTCTCTCTCTCTCTCTCTCTCTCTCTCTGTCTCTCTGTCTCTCTCTCTCTTATAATATTTTTAAATTTAAATTTGCAATATATCCCAGGCTGGCCTTGAACTCATTATTTGGTTATGGACAACTTTGAACTGATTAATCTGCTTCCACATCTAAATGCTGGGATTATAAACATGTACCACTGTGTGTGGTGTATGCCATGCTGGGCATCAAACCGAGGGTCTTTTTCATGTTAGCAAAGAATGTTGCCAATTGAACTGTATCCCCAGATCCTGCCCATTTATTCTTTTAAAGTGTGTGTGTGTGTGTGTGGGGGGGGTGGTAATGGTTTATGTACACATGAGTATATGCACATGTGGTGGCCCAAAGTTGGTGTTAGGTATTTTCTTAATTTCTCTGCACTCTAAACCCCAAACCAGTTCCAGCTAGTCTGTGCAGCCTGTTTGCTGCCTCTGTCCTCTGTCTCTCCCTCCTGAGTGCTGGGATTACTTACAGGCAGCTGCCATCTCTGTTCTCCATACGGCAGGGGTTATAATCTCATGTGCCTACACCTTGCTTTAGGATCTGAACTGAGGTCCTCATGTCTGTGCAGCAAGCTCTGGGAGCCATCTCCCAGGCCATGATTAGGTAAAGTTTTTCTTTTCCTTTTCCTTTTTTCTTGAACTTAAGCAAAAGAAGAGGTACGGAATGTGGGTACTGCTCAGTGATAGAGTGCTTGCCTAGCTTGTATAAAGTCCTGGGTTCCAAGAACGGGAAGCAAACTCGACAACAAAAAAAAAACTTTTTAAAAAATTTTTTAAAGGAGCTGTTGTGAAACCTTGTCTTCGGTCCTTGACTTCCCATCAACCAAACCATTCCCTCCCAGTTCTTAGTTTCTTGTGTCTTCTTCCAGAAGTCCTTGGGTTTCCTCCCTTTTCATTCACCTTGTGACACTTGAATACTATACCCTTAAAAAGCGAGGCTTGCCTTGGAGTTGTTTTCTTATCGGTACACAATGCTTCATCATGATTTTAACATTTTATAGACATACCATAATTTAACCAGTGGCTGGGGATTTTGACTTGGTAAAGTCCCAAGTGATATTTATGTTTGGATGGTCTTTGAGCCTGACATGAGAACTGTTCTCTGTCATTTTTAAGCCCTTGACGGTCTTGAACTAGATTCTTACAAAGCCTCTGTGGGGTGATGAGGGTGGAGAGAAGAAACAGTGTATTTAGGATTTGCTGGCTCTTGTGCTAGGCTGCATGCATCCCCACTGTGCTCCCCTCAGAGGCTCTGCTGGCAAGTACAGGATCTGTTTGAGGAACAGCCTGCTTTGTGTGCAAGTAAACGCCTGCACTGATGGGCTATAACCATTAGTAAACTGACTTCCTTAAAACCGGTAGAGCATGTACAAAAGGATCTCCACACAGATGAAGCTTTGAGAAACAAAACCAGCGTAGAAAGAGGGTATGCAAATGTTCTTTTTATAGATAAAACTTTAAATCTAAAATATCTTAACTGAGATTAGGTGTATGCAGAAGGTGACTTCCTTAATGAAATTGAAGCTGTTTGCTCTTTCTTTCTTTTTTTCTTCCTCTTTCTGAGATCAGGTTTCTCTGTATAGTCCTGGCTGTCCTGGATCTCACTATGTAGACCAGGCTGGCCTCAAACTCAGAGATAGATCCTCCTGCATTTGCCTCCTGGGTGCGAGGATTAATAGCCTGCACCACTGCCCAGTACATGTGGCAAAGAGTAGTTACATGTTCAATATTGAACGAATAGGAAGTATATTAACCTGGGATTTGACACCTAGGAAAGTTTTACAGCAGTTAGAGAAAGTACAGCCTTGCCTTTGTAATGTGATCTGTTCTGAGTGTACAAATGAAATGGAAGGTTCTGGAGTTTTAATTTAATTTAAAACTTGAGACAACTGAGTTTGCTGATTCTCTCGTGGGTGCTGAAGTTTGCACTCAGGTTACTACACCACAGTGGTAGTCCTTTGTGTGTGCTCTGGGGTAAAAGCCCTCCCCTCTTCTCTCCTCCTCTCCCTTCTCTCTTGGTGAGGATGGAACCCAGGGCCTCTGCACACTAGGCTAGCACTCTACCACTGAGGAGCTGCATCTTCTGCTCCTAGACTTCTTTTTCTTTGTCTATCTGTGATTATTTTTTCCTTTTTGGTTTTGAGATAAGAGAGCCCATTCTGGTCTAAAACTTGTTGCCCAGACTCACAGTCTTCTGCTTAAGCCTCTCCAGTGCTGGGATTACAGATGTGTTATGGCTGACTGACTGTCTTGTGCCTTTTTATACTGATGCTAAACTAAGCCTAAAGTTAAAAAAAAATTAGAGATATTAGTATACTTAGAGATTAATAATTAATGCTTGATATATTCACATATCAATGTGGTCCTTTCTTTGTAATAAATGGGAAAACTTGATTCCGAGCAGTTGTGTCTTGTCAAGGTCAAATACCTCCAAAATGCTTTATAGCATTTTGCCAGGTTCTTTCTGTAAACAAGTTCTGACAGACAAGCTTTTCGACATGGGGAAAAGTTTGATTTTGAGCACATTTTCTTGCCTCTGCTCCCTTTTTCCTCCTTAATGTGAACCTGTTTAAAAACAACAACAACAAAATAACCTTGCATGGAGGAGCCTGGCTCATAGCCAGCAGGTAATATATAGACTTGCTTGAAGTGAAACAAAACCTGGAAGCTCCCTTGGTAGCACGTAGAGTGTTTGAGCCCGACCCTATGTTTGCTAGATTATTCTCGTCTTCTACTTTGCCAGGGACCAGTATGTTGCATTCACACAGGTGACATGGTGGTAAGTGGGTGTCTTTACATTGTTGTTTTTCTTTTTACCCTTAGGTCCTTTCCCATAACCTGTGCACGGTGCTAAAGGTTCCACATGACCCTGTTGCCCTTGAAGAACACTTCAGGGATGATGATGAAGGGCCTGTCTCCAACCAGGGCTACATGCCATATTTAAACAAGTTCATTTTGGAAAAGGTATGATGCTAACCTTTTCTCTCCTACAGCTTTGCTTGCCTTGTGAACATCAAGTGGACTAAGGCAGTCGTTATTGTTGAGCACATTAAGAAGCTGGTTATGCAGCCAGGTATGGTGGCACATGCCTTTAGTCCCAGCACTTGGGAGGCAGAGGCAGGCGAATCTCTGAGTTCAAGGCCAGTCTGGTGTACAGAGCGAGTTCCAGGACAGCCAATACTGTTACAGAGAGAAACCCTGTCTCAAAAAACAAAAGCAAACAAACAAAAGAAGATGGGTGCTGAGGTCTCAGAGGATAGGAAGGAGTGAGAATGAGCTCCTCCCCTGCTCTCAGGCTGACACTTCCAGGTTGAAATACATTTGTGTTGCTCTGTGTTTATCTTCTCTCAGATGCTTTACTTATCCTGGAAAATACGGTTTTCCAGGTGCTGGCAGTGGTTGTTAAAGAATGAGTGTGATGGAGTTAAGTGTGAGTATCAAAGGTGCTGATAATTCTGTAATTACTGTGTAGATATCACACAGCAAACTTCAGCCTAGGCTTTTCAAGGGATTGCTTGACATCTCCTTCTGGGGTTGTATCCTAAGATGTGCTCTAGTTCCTTTTACTGTTGCTATAACGAAGTACCTGACAAGAAGCAACTTAAGGAGGGGATACTTACTGTGGTTCATGGTTTCGTGTGATACAGTCCATTATGATGTGCAAAGCTTAGCAGGAGGAGGGGCTAGTGGCTGTGGCAGCAGGAGTATGAGGCTGCTTGCTCACATCAGAGCAGACCAGGAAGTGGATTAGAGGGAGGAATGATTGCTAGAGCTCAGCTCATTTTCTCTCTTTCCTTTTTTACTAAGTCTAGGACTAATGCCCATGGAATGGTATTGCGGTAAATAAGGGTCAGGATAAACAAATAGGCCGAATAGATGTTTATTCAGGGAGAAATAACTTACAACCTAGACAGATGAACACCAGGAAATTCAACCCGATCCTCTCCTGTCCGAGTCACGCCAGAAAGAGAGCGCCTTCCTGGCCCCCTCCGACCTCCTTCCTCAGGTCACCTCCGCCCATAGCTCCACCCCCCAATGGGCGTGGTCAGTGCTACAGAAGGACTACCTCACTACAATTCCCCTTTTAGTCTAAAGAAAAGATTTAGGCTTAATATAAAACTATATACAAAACAGTGAATAACAAGTGTGCTCTAAGAAAAGGAAAATCGAGAACAAAATGACCTACATATCTAGTCCTAGGGTGAGGGCATAATGGAGTTTACAATAGAGTTGTCCTAAGCTGGAAAACGTAAGTCTAGTACCTAATATATCTAACTAGGAAGAGAGAATAATAGTTGTGATAGTTTAATCTTCAACCTCATCAAGACCTGAGAAGGAAAATAACAATACTAGAGTAGACAGGAAATGCGGATGGACAACTTCTAACTACCTCACTACAGAATGGTGCTGCCCACATAAGGATGGGCAGTCTCCCTTCAGTTATGGATGGTGCTACCCACGTAAGGATGGGCAGTCTCCCTTCAGTTATGGATGGTGTCATCCACATAAGGATGGGCCATCTTCCTTTACTTAATCCTCTCTGGGACTTCATCACAGACAAACCCTAAGGTAGTAATTCTCAACCCGTGGGTCATGCATGATCCCTTTAGGGGTAGTGTGTCAGATACTTATGATTCATAACAGTAGTAAAATTATAGGTATGAAGTAGCAACGAAATAATTTTGAGGTTGGGGTTACCATAATGTGAGGAATTGTGTTAAAGGGTCAAAGCATTAGGAAAGTTGAGAATCATTGCCCTTAGGTATGTTTGAAGGCTATATACCTTAAGCTTTTTTTTTTTTTTTTTTTTTCTTTTTGGTTTATTGAGATAAGGCTTCTTTATCTAGCCCTTGCTGTGTAGACAAGGTTGGTCTCAACTCACAAAGATCCCTCTTCCACTCTGCCCCTGCCTTTTAGAGCGTTGGCATTAAAGGTATGTATCACCATGCCCAGCCATAATCTTAAAAGGTATAAACAGCATTTGGGTGTGGTGGTAAAAGCCTATAATGATACATGGGGGGTAGATATAGGAGGAGCAAGAGTTCAAGGTCACTCTCAGCAGTAAAGTTCAAGGCCAGCCTGGACTATATGAACCCTATTTCTTCCTTTTTCTTTTTTTAAAGACAATTTCTTTAACTGTAATTTATGTGCATTGGTGTGAAGGTGTCAGATCCCCTGGAACTGGAGTTATATACAGTTGTGAGCTGTCATGTGGGTGCTGGGAATTGAACCCTGGTCCTCTAGAAGAGCAATCAGTAGTTTTAACCACTGAGCCATCTCTCCAGCCCTAGGCACTATTTCTAAAATCAAAACAAACAGAATACCATAAGACATCCTGAGGAATTCTCAGAAGTCTGGAAATTGCTTTGTTTTCCAGCATCAGAATTTGTGTGGGCTGAGTCAGTGGCAAGGGCATGGTCCACTGGCTCCGTATTCTGAAATGCTGTGCCTGATGCTGCATTTTGTTCCCCTTGGTGTGGTATACTTGTAGATTTGGATTTTAAGTTTTAAAACACTCTTATAACGTGATAATTTAAAGTTCTGTAACTGGGGAGGAAAGGCAGAAGCATTGAAAAAGTCCAAATTGAACCACTAAATTTGGAGCGAAACTCTGTCATAGAGCCTGTGAGGATGTGAGAGAACAGTGAGCCCCTGTTCGGGAGTGGAAGCCTGTCGTCCTGCCTGCCGTCCAAGGAAAGCAATAGGGTTCTTATGCTTTGGGGTAAAATCAGCAAAGATTAGTATCTTGTTTTGAAATTTGGACTGGGGAGAAAAAAAGCCAATAGTGTGAAGAATGCTCGCAGAGGGTGTGTGTATTGCTATTCCTTATGCAGTGAAAATATGAACCATTGATCACACACTTGCTAGACTATGTTCTGGTTCATGCGGCTTTGCTGGATCCCAGTGTTAACTCTATGAGCAGATAAGGGACAATAGATCAAAACAGTTTTAAAAGTTACATTTTATGTGTTTATTGTCTATATGGGGATGAGAGAGTGTGTGCTTGTAGAGGTTAGAGGTCTCCGTGTAGAAGTCAATTTCTCCTCTGGGGATTGAACTCAGGTCTTCAAGCTTGGTGGCAAGCACCTTTATCCACTGAGCCAGTTTGCTGGCCTGTAAGTGAATTTTGAACTCAAGCCATTTAACTTCTTCCAGCAGTGTTCTGTTAACTGTACTCCTAAAGACTAAGTCCTCTTTTTCAGAATTATTACTATTACTATTATATTCTACATAGGGGAAGTAATGTTTGAAGGCAGGGGTGGAGTTACTTTGAAAACTTTCTGTTTCAGACTGTCTCCGCTTCCCCCCAAGTTGTCTCAAGATCGCGTCCCTTCTTCAGTGTTTGTGTTCTTTGGTTGCGTTCTCCAAGTCTTTTTTCTGCGTTTGTCTGGGAGCATCACTCTGAGTAGTCTAGGGTGCTGAAATAATTCAGTATGTTGAAACCTGCTTTCCAAAAAGTGGTTTTCATGTTTGCCTTCTGCATTTACTCTCTGATAGTCATCCCTGGTGTTTGCACACTGATCGAATTTACTTCCAGTTTTCCTGGGACTTCAGGTGGCTAACCAGTCTGTTATTCTTTACCAAGCATTTTGCCTGAGTGTTAATTTTGTTAAATTCCTTCTTTAGTGAAAAGATTTGGAATCCCAGTTTTGTGGGCTTTCTTCTTCCTCTCTCCATTCCCCCTCCCCGCTTCCTCTTTTTGAAATAAGATTTTGTACTTGGATTACTTGATGGTGAATAATTGAAGACATTGGTCAGTTATTTAAAAACAAACAACTTATTTCTGATTAGCTACATAAAGTAGTAGCTCTGCCTCAGCTTGTCTTTGAGACTGTCTCATCCTTCCATGAGATTTATGGCTGATTAGGCTGGTGTATTAAAGGTTCATCTGGGCTATGTGATTAAAGCCGGTAACCCATTGGCCACATGCCAGGTTCACATTGGGGATGCCCAGGCTTTCCAGCAGAATCCCCCTTATGCGGTTCTCATTTGTGCTTTGGAAGCATATAGAGAGAGGAACACACACCATATCAGCTCAGTGTTTTCCCCGGGGCCTCCCAGCTGTCTGCTCTTCTAGTCTCACATTTCTGCAGTTTTCCTTTTCTATACTTTCTAACCGTGTTTGGTGCTCATATAATAGTTAGATTTCTTGCTTAAAAACCTCTTCTTCTTCTCTTTGGTATTGTTTCTGGAAAAAAAAGATTCATATGCCTTAGTGTTTGCCTGCTTGTATGTCTATGTACCACACTCATGCATTGCCAAAGGAGGCCAAAAGAGGTTATCAGATCCCCCCAAACCTGGAGTTACAGATGGGGATGGAACTGGGGTCTTCTGAAGGAACAGCAAGTGCTCTTAACTGCTGAGTCATCTTTCCAGCCCCATAAAGTCTGTGCTTTGTTTTTTTCTATTAATTGACCGTACATTTCAACTCTCAAAATTCCTCAGCTGTCATTGAGTGTGAATGGTATTGTTCATAAGCATTAGCCCAGGCCTTTTCATGTTCTTTCTCACTGTTAGGTAGGTTTGTGGAAAGCTTTTATTTTATAAGCATGGGTGCTTTGCATGTATGTATGTATGTATGTATGTATGTATGTATGTATGTATATGTCTGTGCACTTGTGTGTGTCTCTGGTGCCTGCAGAGGCCAAGAAGAGGGCCAGACCTTCTGGAACTGGAGTAACAGGTGAGTGTGAACCACCACGTGGGTGCTGGGGATCAAACCCAGGTCCTATGGGAGAGCAGCCAGTTCTCTTAACCACTAAGCCATTTGTCCAGCCTGAAAGTTAAGTAGCTTAACATGATCAAATTACCTTCCAGAGAGATTTCATCTTATTTATGAGTGGTAGAGGGTTACCACATTTCTGCCTTTTTGGAGGGAAAGAGGTGGTTTGAAACAGGTTTGTGTAGCTCTGTCTAACCTTAGACTTGCTCAGTTGCCAAGGATGACCTTGAACCCCTGACTG